ATTACATCCCCCCCATCCTCCTCCTCCCACCCCACCCGGGCCCTGGGTCCTCCAAGCGCTTAGGAACGCTTGGTAACGACCCGAGGCCAGGAATAATAATAAAAAGAAAAAATCATATATTTGGCAAACGGGACCCATCTAGGAGGAGCTGCGAGCGCTCCGGAGGCCAGGATTCCAAGCCAAAATGCTCATGACAAAATGGAAGAAAGGCTCTGTAAAATGTAGGGTGCCACTCCATGCGGGCAAGTGCCAAGTCCTGCGCTTAGGTAGGAGCAACCGTGCGTGAAAATGGCAAGGTGGGACCTGCTGGCCCTGTAAATATGGCCCTTTGACAGATAAAAGATCCAGGAGTGCTGTGGATGGAAGAGTCAACGCAAACAACCACCTGGGAGCTAACCCTCTGCTGGGTATGAATGCCCCATGGCACCGTGTCTCCAGAAAGGTGAGAACCTGATGGAGAGACTCCAGCGGGGTCCCAGGAGTAACCTGGGGTCTGGCTTTGCCCAAGGACCACAGGAATTGGGCATGTTCCATCTGGGCAAAAGATGGCTCTGGGGGACACATGGTAACCGTTTCCAAATAACATAAAAGGCTTCCAGGGACAGGAAGGGAATGCATTTCTCTTACCCCAGGGGGATTAGAATAAAATGTTGCCAGCTCAAATTGCGACAAGGGCAGTTCAGGATTAGACATTGAGGGACATTTTCGAAGTGTGAGGATGGTTAAGTCCTTGAATAGGTTGTTTAGGGAAGGTAAAGACTCTCCACTGCTGAAGATTTAAAAAAAAAACCAAACACACACTAGTCAAGTTCCTGTATAGAAAGTTTTTAGTGGAGTTGATCCTGCGTTGGGGCAGAGGATGGCCCAAAGATGGGACAAAGATGTTCATAGGATGGCAAATTTCAGAGGTTTTCAGCTTCCCACTTCGGTACAGCCCAACATGGTGGAAAGGTTTGGCAGACACAGTCCCACACGCAGGCCCTCACCACACAGAATGTGAGAGAGGATCTCCAGGGAAGGTATGACCCCCTCTCTGCCCACCATTCCCAATTCCCCTCCCACCGTGCCCCCGCAGACAGGCACAGGAGCCTGGCAGCGCCCGCAGCCCATGCCAGGGGAGGAAGCGCTATATCAGGATGAGAACTTCCTCTGGGGGTGAATTCCAGTGGATTTCCACGGCCCCGTGCCAGCTTTCGACCGCTAACCGAGGGCACGGCTCCTGCCCACGCCACCTTCACAGCTCTTCTTTCTTCGTGGCACTTCGTTCTCCAGTTCCCCTTCTAATCCGGGCGCTCGGCACGTGGCAGGAACAGAGACACTTGCAGAGGGAAGGATAAGCAAACGCCTCTTGCTGGGCCCTCGAGGGGTAGGAGCTAAGGATATTCAAGGATTATTTATCCGAGAAGAACACAGGAAGAACTTACGAAGACCAGATTAACTATCTCTTCCGAAACCAGGCCAGGGCTGTAAACTGGAAGTGAATCAAATCCCAAATCCCAGTTAGTTTTAGATGGTACCTTTCCTCAAAACTTACCTGAGAATTGTACACACTTCCTCGCTGCCAGCCGTTACCATACTGTGCAAAGCAACTTAATCTTTTGTTCAGTTTAAGTCTGGAGACTTCAGCATATGAAATCTGTTCAGACATGACTCCCTCTAATCTAGTTTCTAGGCACCTCCATAAATATTTCCTCTGCTGCAGTGAGAATGTTTGTAGACTGCACTGGCCCCTAACTCCTGCGCCCAGGGCTATGTATTATGCAAATGCTTTCCTTTTTTTCTCATATCCCAGGCTTGTTAGGTTGAACCAAACTGCACCCAACTCTTCATCTCTCCTTCACATGTCGATCAAAGCACAGAATGCTCTTTTAAAAAGGAAAGGCCATGGAGATTAATATGTCTTCTGTTGCCTGAAAAAAAAAAAAACCACAAAAAACTGCTGCTAAGAATCCTGGTGTGATTAAAAATGAGAGGATGAAATTACAAAGAGCCCGTGTCACCTCTACCTCCAGTTCAAAGCGTGGACACCAGAGAGGAAAGAGGTTCATGTCATTGACCGTCTCCTCCTGGCCTGGCTTCTGCCACCCAGGTCTTCTTGAGCAAGGCCATGTTCAGTATCAATAGACTGTATCATGTGAATCATTTTCCATAGCAGTGTAAGAGAAGCTTTTTCCAAATATTCCCTTAATTGATACCAATACACCTCACAGCCAGAAAAGCCAGGGAGCTCTAAAGAGGAGGACAGAGGGTGGAGAACGGCATACAGCAGAGCCAAGTGCATGAGGTGGCACACAGCTAGGCACAAAATATTATCATGGGTCCTGACACATCACCAGCCATTAATATCTTCCTGCTGCTCACCCGAAAATGAAATACCCATCCTTAATTTCATCCCTGTCTCCCTTATGGCTCTTACTCCCACCGGACTCCCGTTGCTCACAGCCAGGTCCTGCTCCCAGTTTTCTCCCCCGATCTTGCAGGAAGTCCCTGGCTACCAGGACTTTCCTCGGGGAACAGAGGGTGCTTAGCTGTGACTTGCAGTGACGCGTGACTCTTTGCAGAGCCACCTGCACACATGTGGCTTTCGTGTTTCCTTGTACGCTCATGTCACCGGGCTCCGGAGGATTTGTTTGCCGTCTCATCTCACGCCCTCACTTATCACTCGTGCTGCCTTCTCTGAACCGTGGTCCTGTCACTGTCTCTCTGAATGGTGTGTTTGATCTAAGGGCGATGGTGGGGCTTTTTACTTTCCTTATTTTTCACCCAGCTCTGTGCCTGTAATCTCACCAGCCATCGCTCTTCGCTGATGGCAAACTCCTCCGTTACGTAAGGACTGGCAGAAACCTGCCCTTCGCCGCCTGCCCTGCTTCCTTTTCTGTATTTCTGCTTTCTAGGTCTCCTCACCCCGTTACAGCTCGTGGATGTAGTCTAGTTCTGTGGCTCCAGGGGTAACCACCAGAACGCCCATAAAAATCAATTAGTGCCTCTGCTAAATCCTTGCCATTAGTTCACTGTCCTCATTAGTCATCTTCTTAGTTTTATCCCATCCACAAATATTTTACACACACAGAGGAATGTGAGATTTACTTCCCTGCTTCCAGCCCTTTGAATCACTGAACACAATCATAGAATCGTTCAGGTTGGAAGAGACCCTTGGGATCATCGAGTCCAACCATCTACCCTACTCTACAAAGTCCTCCCCTACACCATATCCCTCAGGACCGCATCTAAACGGCCCTTAAACACAGCCAGGGATGGTGACTCCACCCCCTCCCTGGGCAGCCTGTTCCAATGCCCTATCACTCTTTCGGTGAAAAATTCTTTCCTAATGTTCAATCTAAACCTCCCCTGTTGGAGCTTGAAGCCGTTCCCTCTCGTTCTGTCACTAATTACCTGTGAGAAGAGACCAGCACCAACCTCTCTACAGTGTCCTTTCAAGTAGTTGTAGAGAGTGATGAGGTCTCCCCTCAGCCTCCTCTTCCTCATACTAAACAGTTCCAACTCCCTCAGCCGCTCCTTGTACGATTTGTTTTCCAGCCCCCTCACCAGCTTCGTTGCCCTCCTCTGCACTCGCTCCAGCACCTCGATATCTCTCTTGTATTGAGGTGCCCAAAACTGGACACAATACTCGAGGTGTGGCCTCACCAGTGCTGAGTACAGGGGCACAATCACCTCCCTACTTCTGCTATACTCCACTGCTGGCTGTACAAGGAGCCAGCAACGAATACGCTAATTGTAAATATTTGATCCCAGAAAATGCCTCCCACTGCTACATGCAAACAGGACATTCATGCCATTGGCACGCTTCTGGAAACCAAGAAGGCTGCTCCAAGCCAACCCCTTCACGACTGTGAGGGGTACAGAATCACAGAATCTTAGTGGTTGGAAGGGACCTCTGAGATCATCGAGTCCAACCACAAAAAAAAAAAAAAAAA